TCAACTCCCAGAATTCTGGGAGTTGAAGTCCACTCATCTTAAAGTGGCCAAGTTTGGACAAAACTGCCTTATCCAGTACATTACACTGGCTCTCTTTTTCATTTTGGGATCTTGTGGCAACTGTAGAGGGCAGGATATGATGCAGCTGCTTTAAAGGGTTGCAGACAGGTGCTATGGCTTCCCTTTATTGGAATTGAGTTCAAAGTGCTCCCTAATCCTACTGATTAGTATTTGGATGGATACCACTTGGAAATTGCAGGGGTATAGGCTAGACTAGAAGATTGAGAATAACATTCTGGAAGAAGACCAAGGAAAAGTGCTTCCATAGGGTTGCCAAGAAAAAAAGCATAGATATGTCTATATAGTTATATGGAGATAAGCTTTACTCACAGGAGACTTTCTGAGCAGTGTGAACATATTGATATTCCTCTGGAAGAAAGAAGAATACTCCCCAAATCATATTCCTTTATCCAGACAAATTGAATCTGAATGTCTTAATCCACTGGCTCTGTTCTCCTTTAAATAAGGTGAATGTTGTGTTGACTTGGAAGTCTCAGTGACTAGTCAATTAAGTTTGCTTTTCATGACACTGCACATTTTAATCACTGGGTGTGCTTCATGCCTCAAATCCATTTTTGGGGTAGTTGTTATATGCAATGAGTATGTTTATATGAATATTCAGCAGGCTAAATTTACTCAATATGTGTTGGTTATTGGACTAAGCATCACCTCCAGACATCTGGTGTAAGTTTTATCAGTGATGTTCATGGAGATCATGTACATGTGTACACCCAGTATTGGACTTCCTGCAGCGATATTTGAGAAATCATGCTGTTTAATGGCTTAATGGAGTTAAGCTAAGTTAAGTTGACACAAAGTTTAGAGAAAACTAGAGTACCAAACTGGGGAAAGCTTGTTAATATGCACAATTTTTACAATTTATGTTTGAGAGATTAGAATTGCATATTACATTATGTCAATAGGAATGATGTGTACATGCCCATAATGCACAGTCAGGAATTATCATGTACATGATCAAGTGGCCCACTTGAGCAATTGTTTCTTCACTACAGTATTTACTTTTGGAACTCAAGTAAGTAATAAACAGAGGAATTTTCTTCCAAATTCCAAGCTTTGATCAACAATATGAGTAATACTTTTCATCATACTTATGTACACAGGGTCTGGTCTACCATCATGTCCATGATGTTTTACCAACCTGAGTTTGCAAATGAATCAAAGAGGGTGAAGATGTTAAGTTTGTTATGATTTATCAAAGAAGTACAGTTCAGACACTAAATGTAGTTCAAATCTGATTGAGACCAATATCCAAAATTCCACCAAATAGGACAGTCTTCACTTCCTTTTTAAAAACTAGCTCAGGGTTTAATAGTGAATTTAGATCCTATTAACTCCTTGTTTATGCATGCCACTAGCTTTTTAAAGGAGGCAGATTGAGCAGAGTCAGTCAATCATTTTTATTTCAGTCATTGACCAACAAAGATTGAGCACATTTATTTAATATGCTAAATAAAATGGATTTTATTGAGAATAAGGGAATCAAGCAACTTTCAGGATCTTATTTTTTTGTCCCTTTATGTTTCATAAAATCAGCTCCAAATTGTGATAATATATAGACACAGGGTGGTCCATAGGAAGGTTAGTAGTATTGAATTGGTGGGTGCAGCCAGGTGATTAAAGTCCCATCTCCTTTTAATATGCACCATACACATCTCACACATATAAAAAAGGGGTAGGGCTTGGATTGTTCTGGGTGCCCCCACCATTTTGACACTGTTAATCCTTCCCTGTGGATGCCCATTTATAGATATTGGAAGCATGATAGATGTTGCTAACCACCTTTGTCTTTGTGCAGAAGAACTGAAAGAGAAGCTAAAAGAATATGTTGATGAATTGAACATACGGAAACCGGGGTTCATTAAGATGGTCCGCCACAGCAAGCAAGAGGGGCTGATTCGATCTCGTGTTAGTGGCTGGAGGGCAGCCACTGCTCCAGTAGTTGCACTCTTTGATGCACATGTAGAATTCAACGTGGGCTGGTATGTCTTGCTGCTTCTAGATCTGTGTCATTTCTTGTAGTTTGTTTCTCACTGTTAGAAAGTGCTGTAGGATGCAACATGAGAAAGATCTTCTAATCTTGTATTGAGTCAAGATACGAGTACATTGGTTTAAATATCAGTGGACAAAGTCCTTTTGATTGTCAGTTATTCAATATTAACAATCCATTGTCAATTGGACATTGATTTCAGTGGAGTAATTAATGTATGTAAAAACTAAATTTGAAGACTTTCACTAATTTTGATGTGTTGTAAACAGTGTTTTTATTCATGCAGAATGAGAGTAAACTGAACTGGCTTTGTTGATATTGGTGTTTAATTAAACCTGATTGGCTACATTTTATTATGACATCATTCAGCTCTCTACATAATCACCAACTGGTTGGTATCATGTAGCCGGAAGTAGGAAGATTACACATATGCACACATATACATAATGCCAAGACCAAGTTATAAGAGCTGTGAATACTCTGAAATAAGGGAGGGTTCAAGAATAATGATCATTGATCCTCGACTGTCCTCCCACAGAAAAGTCAGAAAATGTAAGCGAGTGAAGAACATGAGTAATAATTTCCAGTATTAAGTTAGTTTAAGAAATAAGCATTTAGCTGTTTAAAATGCAGCACTGTCACATGTGTACATCTCCATTAACAGTAGAGTAGCTAGTTAGAGTAGCTAGTTAGAGTAGATGAAAACTAATGCTAATGTAAAAGTTCAGACTTTTAAATCATTAATAGTAACATTGCCTAGCCATATGGTAAGTGCAATGCTACAGATTTTCCCTCCAATGTTTTGGGCTGGAATTCCCATCAGTCCCAGGAATATGGTAAATAGCATTATGAGAATTTCCATCCCAAAGGCATTGTAAGAGCTGCAATCCAAAACATTTGGATGGCTCTCACCTCTGTTTTCAAGTACTTCTGTAAAATTGAACCAGTTGGAACATTTGGAATGCTGAAGCATCTGTTCTAAGGCTTATTTGACTGATAAAATTAATTCAGACAAACGTACACTAATGGCTCAGAGAATTACTATGTGTGGGCTATTTTATGAATGTTCTCCTACATTTTCACTTGCGTATCATTCCTGAGAGAAATATAAAAAATAATTGTTCTTCAGGCATTAAATTGAACTTCACTGGAGCTGAAAAGACAAAGGCTAGAGCTATCTCAATGTGAGAGTTCATGAACTTTTTGAATTCTTGTTCTCTGCACAACTTGAACTGCCTTATTTAGAAGAAGAGCTTTCTTCATCTTGCATGGGAAGCTATGTGTTCTTCTCCTGTACAGGGAGAACATCCCTTGGTTCCATGTGATTTAACTGAGCATCAGATAGATTTTTGTAAGCACCGTTAGTTTATCAAACTAAATGCAGTATAGTCAGTATCTTTTAAAGAATTAATGGAGTTGCAAAATAAAATCCTCTGTATGTTGAGCCCGTGCTTTTGAAATATAGGATATTTGCTATATGAATATGCAATGACTGGCACTGCCATATGTGAATATGTAGGTAAGAGAAGGTTTGGTGGCAGTTGAGAAGCTGTATCCCATCTACACAGTGGAAGTGTGTGCAGGAGCTACAATGTTCCATGACATGAACACAGCAGATGGTGTAGCCACATGCTCTGTCTTTTGAGCCTGATTCAAAATGCATTCATCAGCATTCCCATATACAAGCATTGGGGGACAAATGCAGGGGGTTCACATTGCCTATTGAAAGCTAGGAAAGAAGAAGTGAAATGAGTTAGTTCAATATGTTGCACTGTGCAATATTACCTGCTTTTCTCTCATTCAGCATTGCTGCTTCAGTCCTTATTTAACCTTCTATAAAGAGCAGTTTAAATGAAAACCCCAGATAAGTGCATATTGTAGACTTCTTAAACAGTAATAGGCAATTTCGTAGGGCTGTTCATGGCAGCACATTACAGAATTCCTAGAATGAGACGACTTGAGTGTTCATAAAAGGGTTGCCATCATTGGTGTGACTGGTCATGTAAACTCATGGCTATCATACTTGGGCTTCAAAAATCCAGATACCTACTAGATGGCAGCAAAGACAGTCCTGTATCTCCTTGCTGCCATCTAATGGTTATCCAGACATTTACAGCCCAGATATGGTAGGCCTAGCAAATGCAAGATAGATATACAAACGATCAGAATGACCAGAATTTACTTTCCAAATATTATCTTGCATTTTTTTCCAAGCATATTTTTATAATTATTTAGAACTTGACTATAGCTTTTAAAAATGGAAGCTAGCCTCCCTGGGCTATAAGCATAGTAATGTGTCACGGTTGCCCCTTTAGGAGAATTTTTCCTCCCACCAGTATGAGATACCATTATTGATTTATTATCAAATTTTTATGCTACCATATTCAAAACAGACTTACTTACTTACTTACTTATTTATTTATTTATTTATTTGTGACCGCCCGTCTTACATGAAGTGACTCTGGATGGTGTACAAACAAACGATAAAAAACAATTTTAAAAACTTTCAGGAAGTACAAAAATGAATATTATTGTGAAAAGGCTAAGAGAAAGCATCAGATTATGAACAATGGATCCACCTCGTCAGATAACCATTCCCTCGTGACCGCCAGGCCTGTTGACACAACCAGGTTTTAAGGGACTTCCAGAAGGTTGGCAGAGATGGGGCCAATCTCACCTCAGGGGGGATTAGGTAGTTCACACCTCAAAACAACTCTGTATAAAGCAACATAAATTAAAACATCCATGGAAAAAGATAATTTCTTCGGCACAAATTCACACACGCACAAATATTTTTATTGAAAGATTTCTGAATTTAAATGATTCTTGACCTCCATGCCTCTGCTAGTATTATTGTCAGTATATTAGAACTGGATTTAATCCCAGATTTATTCCCTCTAATTCCTGTGAGAATCATATGAAATTTATTCAGAATTTACTAGCTGTCCAGCTTGCCCACTGACTCCCTACCTCAGCCATTGATCTTTCCTTAACTGGCCAGAAGAATAAAGTTGAAATTTCTTTCTCAGAGGAGCTATCGAAGGTTCATCTTCTCATGTCTTCTTAACCAGAAATCCATTGATCTTTCCTAGGATCAGATGGATAAAAGTACAAGACAGTAGAATAAGAGTGCATTAAGCAAGAATTGCAAAGACTTCTGAGAGGACAATCTTCTAATATCTGTGGCCCTCAGATAGGGCTATTAAAAAAGAGGCTAATGGCAATTTACAGTCCATACAACATTTGTGGTTGCAAGGCAATGTAGCCCCGAGAAGGAGGCCCTCACTCTCTACTGCAGTTGTGTGCCAGAGGTAGGGCCAGACAGACAGAGGTAATCAGATCTCATGCTGTGAGTAACTCAGGACTCTGAGAGTCAGCAACAGTAACATTTTATTGATTCATAGTTTGCAAACAGCAAAATCAAGCAAGCATTCATTCACCCATCCCAACATGTATATTTCCCGATAGCTAGGCTGGGTTGGCTGGGTTCTAGCCTGGGTACAAGGAAGGCAACTGTATCACACAGGTCAAGGGTCCAGATGATGGGGTCTTCCAGCAAGCTATTTGTTCTGGTCTGTTTTTATATTCCTTAGCTTGCAACTTCCCGGTTCCATGCGTCAGTGCATGAGCGTAGTAGGCACCCAGCCCCTGACTTTATTCTTCCATTCCCAGGTAGTGATAAAGTTGTTTTCGTGTCATATTCTCCCATGTCCCTTTACATATTTAATTCATAGTTTAACTCTCATTAGTGCCAGGCTGCTTGCAGTTTCCCCAAATACAAAGAAAGGTTAGAAGAGAGTTACTTTGGCCAAGCATCTAACACTCCTGTAGAAATAAAATGGACTTTCACTGTTGCATGGTTGCCAGAGTTTCTAGTTCAGCAATTTCATTAATAAAGCAATATATATCGTCCTTTAGAAAGAACTACCAGCAAAAATTTAAACTAGTGATTTAAATCCATATATTTACATTGTAATATCTTTTTCTTGGTGACTGAAGTCTATCCAGCAAGGTTAAATGCTGGGTAGTAACAACAGAAATCTCAGAACAATATATCTGAAAGGCACCAAACTGGGAAATCATGTTTGAATAATCCAGTTATGTCATTTGTGCCAGTTGCATTGTGGCAAATACAAATGACATAATTTGTGTCATTTGAATGATGACATCATCGCAGTCATGGTATCATGTGTCCCCCTTGCACGCTCACGGCTGAACCCCTTTTTTAACCATCTCTAATTGGTTGAAAAAGACAATTACTCTGAGTTCATCCTGAATGCCCTTTTCCCATGGAGGTGGGATGGTTTGCAAAATATGTTTTCTTTTTCAACATAAGTGGTTCAGACAAATACGATGCCTAAGTCATAATGTTCCAACTTTGAAAATTCTAAACATTCTTTCTGGCTACATCAGCAAATATTTCCTGCATATTTGCCCACTCCTGCTATAGTTTTAGGAACAGTATTTTAGGAGGCAGGATTTTAGGAAACAAAGTATCTCCTAGTTTTCAAATCAAGCACTATTTGAAGTCAACCAAACCTTCAGTCTTTCCAAATGCAATACCTAATGTATTGCTTATCTTCCTCATAGTACAAATACTGTATTTTGTATACAAATAATGTCAAGGGAGACATTTGCTACATGGAATCTAGTATTCCATTGCTATGCGAGCTTCACAACATGTTGTAATTAAAGCTTCTGCTGTTTAGAACTTGAAAGGCCAGCACTGATTACTGTTGCAATGTTGACTCCATTAGCATCTATCAGTTACCTTTAATTATTTGGCCTTCCCATCTATTATTTAGACATCTTAATTAACAGCCTCCCTCTCACCCACCTTTGTTTCTATTTTGATGAAAAACTTTAAAAGGATAGAAGTATTTATTCAGTATATATGTGTATGTGGCGGCGGGGGGGGGGGGGCGGGGATCAAAGGCAGGTATCATCTAAGAGGTATGATTGTTGAAACAAACTGATCATCTTCCTTTTCTTAAGGGCTGAACCAGTACTCATGAGGATAAAAGAAAACAGAAGACGAGTTATTTCTCCATCATTTGATAATATCAAATATGACAACTTTGAACTAGAAGAATACCCTCTATCAGCCCAAGGATTTGATTGGGAATTATGGTGTCGATATCTAAATCCACCAAAATCATGGTGGAAGTTGGAAAACAGTACTGCTCCTATAAGGTAATGTGATATTTGAGCAAATGTTCATGAAAAGCAGAATTAAAAGCCCAAAAAGTTCAATAGCCAAGTTTTGGTCCTCTGATTTGGTCTTTTTAGTATATCAAATTTGGTAAGCTGGCACTTATAAGCACCACATGCTTGTCATGCCTATAGACTCCAGAATGAAATTGAAATAATTTAAAATTGTTAAAAAGACTAAAATCTTGTAAAGTAAACACTGCTTATAAGGGTTATGATCTCCAGAGATTTAGGCAGGGAGCACCCAGGCCATCACGTGAGATTATGATAGCACGTAGAGTTTGAAATGTTGTTGATCCATAGATCCATAGCTTCTGTACAATCCTCAGTCTGGCTCAAGTACACTGAAGCTGCTTTTACAGTGTTACAACTGAGACAGAAGTCTTTACTTCTGTAATTATGTCTTGTAGTAAGTGATGTCATGTACGTTATTCAATGAGTTGTCCACAACAATCATAATATCAGCAGGAAATTGACTGGAAGAAGTATCAATTTGTTTTCAGCAACAATCTCTAGGCCTTATAGAAATGCTAGGAAAACAAGAATGAATTTCTCATCAACCATATACTGAGCACTAACTTGGTAATTCCTTTGCCCACTTACTGACATTATATTTCTGAATCAATTAATAAAAAATAAAAAATGGAACAGAACCTGGAGGAAAATCATCTCTGCAGTCGAAACATTCTAAAAGAGTCCGCATTTGAAGTGCCAGTTTCATAGTTACGGTAGAAAAAAACAGAATTTGTTTCTATCTTGGAGACATCTGGAATAGGTTCCTGTCTATATTTAAATGAGAGAACTGGGGTCACTCTATAGCACAGTACCATATATCCCTGAATCAGATAGTATCATGTAGAAAAACTCTTCCATGTGATCATTTTTAATTTAATTGGAGGAAAGAAAATTGTGTTTTGTTTGTGAAATTTGCATGGGTGGGGTATTCTGTTCTAGTCCTGATTTAGCTGAAGAAGAGGTGTATGTGGATTATCTGTTTTTTCATTTTTCATTGATCTCTCCAGTAGTTTGGCTTCTTAGGCTTCCACTAAATCTCAGGGGAAGCATCATAAGGAATCACCTCCCAGTGGGCTTTCCTAGTTTAGGAAGTGTGAGCAACCAGGGAAGCTTCAGACTGATGGAAAAAGCATGTAACAGAAAACAACAGCATTAGCCTCCTGCCACTGCCAAGAGTAAAGTAAGCTCGAAAGCTCCATCAAGAGAAATTCAGAATGAATTCTGAGCACCCTGGGAATAAAGTAGCAAAATTTTTCACTGTGGCAGAAAACTTTTGAAATATTGCAAGACAGGTTTTGCCATCATATTAAAAAGTAAGTAAGAAATAAGATCACTGTTTAGTTCTGGACCAGTACCGGTATCAGTGCCTGTGGCTCTTCTGGGTTTCATACAGAGGTGTCCACAGAGAGGTGGGGATGAATGAAAAAGGCAGCATCATAATGATGTGACAGAAACTTCATACCTTTTGTATGTACATCGTGATGCTGTGTGCATAAAGGTGGCAGAGCTTAAGGCACAGCACTCCTCATCATTTTGATGAAAGCTTTCAATCCTGTGGACAGCTCTGTTTGTAGCACTACCTTATAGATCACATAGGGAGATTAAAGGGAGATTAATCACACACTGAGGCATACTAGTCACAGTGTCTAGCAACTCACTCCAGGGCCCAAAGAAATGAAATGTCTAGGTTGGAAGGATATGGCATAAGGTGGTTAATGCCCGGTGGCTCTGCTGAGACATTTTTGCTTCTAATGGAAGCATATTTATGTAATGGCAAATTGGGATAATTTTCATGACATGGTCAATATCTTCAGCTAGGTCGTGTCCCTCCTAAATAGTTATGTTACAATGGTCAGTGGCTCTTTGATAGTTCAGTGTGCTGGCCAAATGCAAAATTGGTTTCACATTGCAGTCATGATAACTAGAAATGGTAGTTGCTCTACATTTCAATGATACATTTATACATTTATACATGGAATAACCACTAACTGTGGTTTAAGGTGCCATGTAGTGGTAAGGAGGTGATATACATGTTATACATGTTCATTTTAAACAGCAGGAATGGTGTGATGCTGTTTAGTTTTTCTCACCAAAATTTAATTACATTATATAGAGTAATTTGATTATTTACAAATAAAGGGAAGGATGCATTTAGCAATAAATAGAATAAAAACATGAATGTTTAATGCATTAACATCTCTTCAGAATATTTTTGAAGATAGTTCCATTGCATAGTAAAAAAAGAAAAAAAGCAGAAGAGTGTTCCTTACAGATCTGAAAGATAATATTAGTGATTGACTGACATTTTCTTCATTCCAGAGTTCTTAGCTTCCTGTAGTTTTGTTATCATCACAGAGACTCTGATCTGCATAAGGAGGAAGGGGAAATTTTAGGACTTGTGATTTTAGAAATCTTATGATCACATCAGGAGCAGATGTCTCACTTCATCGCAGCTTGATCATCATTGCCATGATGAATGCTAAATTGTTTCTTCTCTTCTGTAACAATCCTTTAATTAGAATTCAGTTGTCCCCATGCTCTTCTTTTGCTCACATAATGACAATAGTGACATTTCTGTCTTTGCCACCTGCATGTCAAAGCATGCACTAGGCTAAAAAAAAAAAAAAAGAATACTCTTTCCTCCCTTGCTAGATAAATACAGGTGGCCCTGACTCCCACTTTAAGGGCATCCCAAACTTATCAGACTGGTTGCCAAAATGTCTGGACTTTCCTGAAGATATTTTCAGGAATGGCATGGCAGTAACTGAAATGGCTGCAAGAGGGTGGTAGCACAATGAAATGAGCTGTTGAGTGCCATAAGCAATGGAGGCGCCATGTTGTGCACAAGCAGCACTGAATAAATCAGTCTTAAATTTTGATAGCATTGGAACCCAATACATGTTACCCAAGTGTTACTAGTTTTACTATGTAGTTATCCTCTTTAATTATCTGTGGCTGGCTGCAGGTGTGTGTATGGCATATGAAGGTCTGAATGGAGATGTATGAAAGAAAGAAGACATGGAACCCCTAAAAGCATAGAACCAGAATGGCTTTTCTGGAAGTTTTCAGCTGATGTGGGAAAAAAATTCTAGAATGAATATTTCTAAGAAGATGCAACAGGGAATGGTGCTTAAAAGAAGAAAGCAGTTATCAAAACATGATGTTAGTGGTTAAGGTGTTCACTCATAGTTCTCAAAACAACACATAGTTCTCATGTGAACTGGATATGACAAATGAAAAAATTCCAGGAGGCATAAGGAGAGTGCTGGGCTGAAACTGTCCAGGTTTTGTTGGAAGTTTTAAAAGTGGATGGGAACTGTAGTCCTTCACAGCCATCACACAGAGTGAGATATCATGCATAGTGGGCTTGCCATTTCAGTTCTTTCAGAACTCAAATCTAGTCTAGCCACACTTTGAGTTGGATCTCCCCCTCCTCTGCCCCCCCCCTTGGTGAAAATTTAGCTCAGTAAGCAAACAGGACAAAATGTGACCTTGTACTTGCTTTTCTGTTTATATCTGGGTAAATATGAACAAGTACCACTGGAACTTTTACAGAGGTCATCTCTACACCCCTCTGTGAGAATGTCCTGTAGCCCTATACCAGGAATCTTTGGATGCAGCAAAATAGATGTATAAATAAATAAAACTATAGGAAAACTGAAACAGGCACAAAACTGTGTTTATAGGCTCTGTCCTTCAGACATTAAAGTGGTTTCTTATCCAATCTGGTGCCCAAATATTAGATTTTAATTCAATGACAAAAAGGTGCTTTGGAGCACCTGGGACGCTTGTTTTGCAACTCCTTAAAACAACAGTGCCTTTTTCAGCTGTCGTGTGATTCCCTGGAAAATATACATTTGGTTGTCTGCCCACTTCCCTGCATCCCAGAGCATCATTTGCTTTTGCATCTGAAATGCTACACTGCTCTATCACATATGTGGGAAAGACACTCAGATTGACGTTTTCTTATCTTTAACAGTCTATACATGTTAGCACGTAAGTGCTAATCCTATTTTCATTCTCAGTCATGTGAAAGCCAAATGAGGAATACCATATACATAATGCAGGGTTTGTCCTGCCTGCTTGATTGCTTTCTTGACTTTTTATAAAACCCACACAAGGCTGATGCAAGCTCAATGTGGAAAGGAGGTACAATAAAATCAGGGAAGGAGGAGAGCAAGATTGTGATTGCCTGATAGCGCTTCCCTTCCCTTCCCTTCTCCATTCATTTATTGAAAATTGTAAACATAGCACATACATACGGACACATAGATAAATTGTGGGCATACATTTGGTTGCTGGTCTCAGGGCAGTTGCATTTCCATGCATGTCATCTTAATAAAACATATGCATGACATTCAGGCAGCCGATGTATCCATATCACAATCACTGCAAAAATTCTGGTCTCCAGTCATTTATTGGAGAACAAGTGATTCAGTTACTTTGGAACTGTTGGAAAGACTGGAGACTAATTGGTGTCCCCATAGGAATCTTTGAAGAAAAATGAGGTTTCCAAAGGAAAATTAGGATAGCAGTATAATAAAGCTATCTGCTTATTATTAAGAAAGGATCAGGATGGAGACCTTATTGCAATTTCCCCAACTGGTTTTCCTTTAGTTGTATTGGGCCTTCAATTTTGTCATGTGCCTAGAGGTTTTGAGAAGCAGAGGCCAAACAGTGAGATCCTTCAGAGGTAGAGGCCTGTATCAGTGGAATTCTTCAATAGTTTTATCAATATTTATATGTTTTCATGCTTAAGTCCTAATGGAAGCTAAATCAATTGATCAGATTAATAAATAAATACCACAACATGGAACATCTCACTAGTATTAGAGACAAGTAATGATTTTTAAGTAGTCCAGAAAGGCGTATCTTTGTTTATGTCAAAAAGCAAAGTTTTTATAAAGTCCATGTTAATTTATCTTATTGCTGAAGATGAGACAATGAACTACTCTGAGTTCATGAATTGTGAGCTTGCCTTAAATGATGCATATCCAAAATCTATTTGTATGTCTCCATTATTGCTTTTTTTTTTCCCCCTAGGAGTCCGGCATTGATTGGATGTTTCATAGTAGACAGGGAGTATTTCCAAGAAATCGGTCTACTAGATGAAGGCATGGAGGTCTATGGAGGTGAAAACGTGGAACTTGGGATCAGAGTAAGGAATCATCAAGATACACCAGTTCTTTTAGTTGTCCTTGGTATATGTAAGCAAGATGCCACAAACAATAAATACAAAGAATTAGAAATATGCATTTTTATAAAACTTTAGGATTTTTGGTAAAATTAACCATCAATTTCAATGTCGGCAATAGCACTGTTTATGTACTGGAAAGCTGAAGAAGTCAAAATTACTGAATACAAATAATATATTCCTGAGTTGGTTTTTTACAGTGGGTACTATATTCGGCTCCTTTCATGGGAAAGGTCAAAAAACATATCACCAAACTCTATAAACATTAGCAGGAACTGTTACCATCAGATAGGTGTTTGTCCTTTCGGAAGATAAAAGCTTGAGAATACTAAGCTGTTTTGTTTTTGTTTTTAACAATGATTCAAACTGACTAATGGTGTGATGGTTCCCCCACTTCATCCATTGCTGCCTTTCCTCCTCTGTTTCTCATTTTCCGGATCTGCTAGAAATGGATAGGTTGGCCCACCACTCTCCATATCTCCCTTAGGACAAACCTTCTTCCTGCTGGACTTCTTAAGGCTTCAAAGGTCCCAGTGTCTCTTGGTTCTCATCTAATCCTTCTTCCTCTCCCCTCCAACAGTTTCCAGCCAAGCTTAAAACTTTTGGCTTTTGGGATCCTACAACATGAGCCATTCAGTGGTGAGTGTGTAGTTGGCAGATCAGGTCTCTGCTGGCCTGCATTTCACCCCCATCTCTACAGCAGTGTGCTAGCATCTTCTAAAACTTTGTTTTGAAGAGAGAAACTTATTATAAGGGCAAATTATCCCATAAACAAACATCTGAGAATGGTATCCTCTGCATGCTTTCTGTTTATCAAAAAGTGCTACCTTAAAGAATACCTAAGAATTTGTAGGTTATGTCCTGGACTCAATCTTATTTCTTAATTGATCAATAAGTCACTTTCTCGGGGCTGAAATAAAACATGATCATCTTACTATTATGAAAAATAAGATGTTTAAAGTCAAGAAGATAGCCAATCAGTAAGCCATTATATCATGCTGCAAACAAGACTAAAATATTTGAGATTTTGATTCTAAATCAGCTTTTCTAACTAATTAACCTTTGGATTAGCTCCTTGAATATGAATTTTCCAGTCCATGATTATACGCTCATAAGATTTTAACTGTAGCATATTATTATTGTAGTCTACATGAGCTCTGGATCACTGTGTTGTTCTCTAATACCGTTGTGCTTATCAGAATATTCACCTGTATCATTTGGGAATTTAACTAAAAACTGTAATTGTCCAGTACTTTTGATCTATGTAAATACTTGAAATTATCAACATATTTGAAATATTTATCAGCAAAGGCAGATTTTGAGAATCTCATATTTCCTCCTTCAGACAGGAAGACTCTTAATGAGTTATTGTTTTATTTGCAGCTATTTTATTCAGAAGGACATTTGTATTCACAGAACCACTGATCAGATGTACCTGAGATACTTGGGTTCGAATATTGCTTAGCTACGAACTTGTATAGCCTTGAAAATAGAATTACTGCAAAAAGTGTAGAATTGTTCACACATTTTAAAGATTGGTGAACTTATGAACTTTTGTTGTTGTGCAGGAAAATCAGCTTCTCCAAAATACACCTGCTTGTTTAAGACAGTTGAACTATTTTAGATGTGCTGTTCCTGCTCTGGCTTTGCTGAAGTGTTCTAGAATGTCATTCTTCATAATGATAAAATTTCTGTTCCAGAGATAGACACATAGATTAGCCACAGTCTATGTGATTTATGTATGTTGTTTTGGTATCTAAATACTTCCCTCCCCCCCAATATATTTTTTAGCAGGCCAGCTCATTTTTAGAGTGAGTAAAAATATTCCTAAGAAGACAGCAGGGTTTTTTCAAATCATTATATTTTTTAAAAATGGGACCATGTTATGTAGTACAAAAATGTATTCCCTCAGTGGGGTTGGTTTGAACTGGAGACAAAGAAATACTTATGTAGAAGCATGCATTGATTTATTGACATTAATGGTTAACCAGAGGCAGGAAAGATTCACCTAAAGAGGAATGGGATTGCAGAATGTCTTTATAGACATTTACAAATCAAGCATTCATTGGATTGGATACATTGCAATTACACTGGGTCAGCAAAAATTATTGGTTAATTCCCTCTGCTACTGGCATATTTGATTACTCTTTGGATTCTATGTCTACAGAATGCAAGGTAAATGAAGTCAGCACTTTAAACAATGAGGTTTTCTCTAGTTCAAGAGGCCTTTTATACTGATTCCCCTTCAGATATTTTCTTTTCCATTTTATCTAGAAGACCTTGGTTCCCAGCATTGGCTGCCATAATTCTTTTCCCTATTAATCTCCTAGCAGCTGCTTTACATTCTTGTGGGTAACACTTTCACTTATCTTGTTAGCACCTTGTTATTTTAACAATGGCTACAGATTCCAGATGGCTGCCTACTTTGCTGCCTGCTCCATAAAGTATTCTAAAAAGTATTTCTGTTCCTGACTTATGGTTGGTTGCACAGTCAGCCAGATGTTTAGATGGGATTTGGCATTTTTCTCTACCTATCAAGTCCTTCCCAAGGACCTGGGATAGGCAGAGGATGTTGTTTGGTGGTGTTAAAGGTATTGTTGCAGGATACAAGTTGTGCCAAGTGAAACTGCCTTTTGCAATTGACTGATGGTGATTTTGTCAATGCCGATGGTCTCCAAGTGGTGATCCAGACATTTTGGGATTGCAGTCAAGGTGCCTATTACTATTGGTACTATCTTTGCTTTCTTTTGCCACAGTCGTTCTATTTTTATTTGCAGGACTTAATATTTTGTGATTTTCTCCAGTTCTTTCTCTTCCATTCTGTTGTCTCCAGGTATTGCAGTGTCCACTATCCAGACTTTTTTGTCTTTCTTACCAACAATTGGGTGTTGTGTGGCCAGTGCTTGTCTGTTTGAATTCTAAAGTCCCAGAGCACTTTAGCTTCTTCATTTTCTATTACTTTGTCTGTTTTGTGGTCTCATCAGTTCTTGCTTGCAGGCAAATGGTATTTCTTGCAGATATTTATTACTACTACTACTACTACTACTACTACTACTACTAC